GAGTGTCAAATTTTTATGGCTCTGTTTGATTTCTGGCCGGCACAACGCCGCTAATGGAAGGCACTTGTTCAACCCGTCGAAATTAACGAGATTTCCAGCTTCGGGATATGAATCTACGGTCCTACGACAATATTTGCCAAAGGATAACATGTGTACGCGCAAGTGCAGTGTCATCCTTAAGTGTGGGAAATTATCAAAGCTACCCAGTGTTTTTTACGTTTCGTGATTTTAGATTTATCATTGCAGAACAGTCAGAATATTTGAAACAAAAAAACAATATTTAAACAAGAGACAGCGCGTCTCTAATCTCTAATCTAGCTTTTATACTTCCTGAGATCGAGGCGTTTATACGGACAGACGAACGGACAGATGGACGGACATACGGACATGACTAGATCGAGTCGACTTGGGATCCTGATCAATAATATATATACTTCATTCCAATCCAAACACCCTTGTACTTGGTATAACAACCATTCATATAGTCAAGTCATAAGTTGTGTTTACACGGATTACTTTTATAAACATTCAAAGTTTATTATCGGTCTTGTAAGACTTATGTAGGACTTTAATTTCTGTGTACAATTTTCTTTTCCAATACTGAATGTAAGGGTTATAGTGTTGTCCAAATCAAAAATAAAATAACATTTTTAAAGGCTGCAACTGGCGCAACATTGCGGTCAGATGTCATTTGTAATCCTACGCCTCTGTGGTAGGAGTCTTGCTGGTTATATGCCAATTTGTGGCCATTTGTGCTAATAGTAAGAGGTTCATCGCATAATCGCATTCGCATCCAAGGCTTCAAATTTCAGAGTGTTGGCTTGCAACACTGCTGTCTCAATCGCTGCCAAATCAAGGGCCAATTCCGATTCCGCTTTCGATTCGGATTCGGATTCAGATTCAGATTCATCTGCCATGCTACTTTGGTCTGTACTCCCGGCATTGGGCAAATGTGATTTATACTCCGCTTTATGTAAAAACGTCAGCAACAATTCCGGCAGAAGAGCACAAATTAACTCCAGCGTGGAGTGGGCCCATTCCCGGCCAGAAAGTCGAGACGTGTTCAGTAATTCAATATCCAACCGGCGGAGGATGCAGTCGGGAGGGGAGTCTGTGGCACAGAGGTCACATTTGGCAGCCAACTCGGTAAGTATTCCCAGAGGATCCGAATAATTTCCTACCCTTGGCACTAAGTATTATTGTGCATTAGAGGACTAATAAACAGGTTCGCAGTTGTCCTCGCCGTCGAGGGCAGGACTTTCTCATTCATAGTTTGTCTGCGAGTTTATACCTTCTACGTGATTTACGGCAATAACTCATCGCAGACTTGGACCCGGGCACTCCACGCTCAGGGCAAATCATGGGACATATAAATCAGGAATACTAAATTAATTCACTTTTCTTCTCCAGCTCTGCTTAATTAAAGCCTCCTATGTGGGCTGTGACGTATTTCCGACCATTTGGGCCATTTAAGTTTATAATCAAAAGACTGTGGCTGGGAGAAATGAGACTTTTCTAGCTCTTCAACTGGGATATTACTTTTTAAGTCTTATCTTCCAACGAACTAAATATTTTGAGAATATTATATACTCCTTACAATATACAGTAGTCTTGGGAACATTATGTAGCATACAGTCGATAAGTAGATTTTTCCACTCTGTCATCCACTTGACCAACAATAGAAACGCCTGATTGTTGTGGGTTTTAAGGCCAATTTTACAGCCAGTGCATTAATTTCCCATGTACTTTGTTGATCTTTATTTAGCGCTGCCGAACCGCCCTAATGCCGACTTATGACACCAAAACTGCTCAATTTTCAGGACTTGCGCTTTCCTCAGCCCATCGAGGGTGCGGAAAACGGGTGGGGGATATCAACGGGGTTACAGCCGAATTAGTCCAGTGGGATTCTGGCGCGGATCGGGGCGTTTTGTTTGCCTTTGCCTGTGCCTTTGCCTTTGTCAAGGCAAGACGCACTCCCTGTGCTGAGCAATCGAGCAATCACCCAGCGGGAAGGAGCGAGCGGCCTTCGGTGTAGCAACAATTGAGATATTCAATTGGCAACAAGCGCCGCATGCAGGGGCTGTGCACTGGGAGAAACTTAAGTGCTAATACATTAACATCGCTAATAGCTGTAAGATATGTCCATAAACAGACTTTGGGTAATTTTCAATCTTAATAAATATTCAAATTCTTTGAATAACATATCACCTGAAATGAGAAAGTATCTTTGCATAAGCAATAAATAAATGAGAAGTAAATAAAGTTTTATATATTTATTTATATATATTTTTATACATTTTTAAATAATAGAAATAGAAGTAAATAAAGTTTTATAAATTTATTTATATATATTTTTATATATTTTTTATATTTTTGCCCCTCATGGAACTGAATATTAATTTGTTTCCTCTTTCAGTATGTATAGGAATATGAATCTCCTTTACCAAAGAGATGACAACCCGTGGTTGTATGAATCGCACTGCTCGTTTCTCGCAGTGCAGAAGCAACCACTAGGGCAATCAGCCATCCCACGATCCCGCTGAGCGAGCGATTAGTTTGGGAAGCTGCCCGATGTTGCGCATCCGTGAATTACAATTGCGGTTTCCTGGCATCAAGGGGGAGGATTCGCGTTGCAGGACACAGAATACAGTGTACATGAGTCAGGATTCAGGATTCAGGATTCAGAACTCAGGACTGAGGATGAGAGGCCGGAAAATCACTCCAGTTGTGCGTGTTGTTGCTCTTTTGCCCGCCTGCACTTGAAATTGTCAGCAGGTGCTCGTCGCCGGGCGTTAAAACAACATTTGCAGTTATAGTGTTACACTTGGTTAGTGCTGCAGTTAGGCCATCGGAGGCGGAATCAATTTAACTGCATTTGGCGATGCGTCGGATGGCAGTGTGTGTTTGGGCCATTAATAAACATTTCGTTGTCTGTTTGTGCAATAAAAATGCAATTCCCATTAAGTGTCCACTCGGTGGGGTGGGCATGTTTCATGTTTCGCCACCGAGTTGACCAGCTGAGCCGTTTGGGGGATAAATGAAATGGATTTTCAGGGGCACTTCGATGGGAGGTCAATTCAATGAGGTGCCGGCTTCCAGTGGGGACTCGGAGCACATTTAATATATTTTGATTTCAGGCAATGACTGATGGAGGAGCCGACACTTAATAATGGGAATATATTCTTGGTGTACCATGTGGGATTATGAAATGAATACAATACAAGCCATACATGTAAGTACATAATAACTTTGTAATCCTACAATTGGCTGCTTCATTGCTGTTAATTCCCGAAGAAGAATTTCATTCCCACCTTGAGCGCGCATTTTCAGTAATTTAATAACGCTCTTTCCAGAAATAAAGACCAATTAAGACCCATTGTCTTATCCGATGTTCGGGTTGGTGCTCATCCGCATCGCAGAAGACCGGCATATTCGAGTTCGGAGATACACGAAAGGGGTGCAAAGCTGTTGAAAAGCCTTTAGTCATCGCCCCAAATGATTTTCATGTCTCGGCGCGGAGCCATAATGATGGCGGCAATAAATTCGCATTAAGATCGCCTCGATTGAGTACTTTCAATGGCACGCAGATGCTGAGGAATGACTGTAGAAACTCAAGACCATTTCGGAGGAGAGCTGATCCTGACGGAACCGATTTTCCGTCCATCTTGGGCTGGCAGTACCTTCGGCTAATTGCGTTTAATTCGTTCAAAGAACCCGCATTGTGAGTTCATAATTTTTGCTTTTTGTTTTATGCAATCGTAAAAACGCTCGTCCAATCAATAATGTAAAGATCAGCTCCGTACTATTTGATACCACTCGCTCAACTCGTGCCTCTTGGACGGAAGTTGCTGATTTTGTGACTTTTCCAGATCGTTTAAGATTGATTGATCAATGTTTTATGATCGCCAACCTCTCCCTGGCTGACTCGTTTGATCTTGGGGCTTTGCTTTTGTTGCGGGCGGCATAGGCGTTTGTTGATTAAATCGCAGGATGTTATCGATCATTGCATAAATTAACGCAAGACTCTCACAAAAGCACTCCCTACGCGGCAGGCTTGCATTCATTTTTATTTGAATATCCATAAACCTAATCAGTTATGTAAGTATCAAGAGTATCGTGGGAACTCCTGGCGCTTTCTGTTACTAGAAATATAAATACTTTGTACTTCGTTTTGCAGGAGCAAATGCCAAGGAGTAAGTACTCTGTACTAGTCTTCATATTTTCTGAACCATTTCATTTCCAATTCCGTGGCTATCAGAGATAAAGCGATTCCCACGTACCCGACCTTTTTATTTATACAAATTGTCAAATGCACAGGCCAGGGCAACGAAAAAGTAACTCACCGTTTTATTCGAGGTAGACAGAAATATTTTTTATTGATGAAATTGGTTCGGCTACAGCTGAACTCCATTTGCAAAGTAGACAATTTGCCGCTGTGCAAATTGCAAACTTGGGAATAGTCCGATCAGCGGAGTGGGAAAAAAACACAGCGTATGTTCGCCGAGCTCACCGTTTGCAATTTATATATTTTTTATTGTCAAATTTGGTAGAGACACAGCGCCAAGATGAAGATGGAAAATGGAAAATGGAGCTGGAGCTAGAGCTGGCTGGAAAATGTGGGGTAGGTGGTTGATGGCTTGATGGCTTACCCTCGTCTCGTACGTGATACTTGATATCTGCGGCTGGACACGCTGGGGAATAGAAAATAGAAAACAAATTCAAGTGGGCTTCACCCACTCATGGTTACTCAGACAGGTTTGAATATCTTGTTTATAATTCTCATGGATGAACGTATGATTTTTTAATCATTCTGCTTGTGTGTTGACGTTCAGGGTTATGGAAATGTCCTCGAAGCGATTCCCTTTTCAGTTTTGTTGTGAGTTCGCAAAGAGGTTGGCCAACTGCTATTGACACTTCAAGTGATGTGTGCTTTTTGGTTTTCAAATTATAGTAATGGGTGGAGAACTTTGAGCCCGCCCACTTGAAGAATACACAGCCTTCACATTTGCTTAATAAATTCAATTTATTTTGAAAACATAAAAATACTTAGAATGTAGATTAATGTTTGTCTTCATAATTGTTAATTTAATATTACATACATTATTTGTTGAACATTTAAATGAAAATATACTCGTATATATATATTTGTTTAGCGGTTTTTACATACATACACATAATATGTATAAATAAGTTAAAAAATTTATTAATTAGGCTAAATTCATTGGAATGATATAATATCAAAATAGTTTGCATAATACAGCGATTTAGTTAAAATTTCACAACTATCTAGAAGCGAAAACTTGGAACATTGTAGTTTTGCCCTCGCGCGTTCGAATTCTTTCATTTTATTTCATATATTGGATTTACTTCTCTCCGCTCGGATTTAGTTTGTTACATTTCACAAAGTACTCGCACGACACGCACAGTTCATATCGATGGAATTTCTTAATTTGATTTTGATTTTAAACTGACCCTCGGGCCACAGCAATACAAACTGACATACATACATAGGGGAAAACATGGAAACTCCTTTGCTCCGGATTACTTTGGTATGTTCGTAAGATGGCAATGTGTAATGTGATTACGCTTTAATGATAACTTGAGACTGACTATAGTGCTGGCTTTAATTGGTTTCGATTCGTATTTGCTATTTTAGTTTTTGGCAACATTGGAAATAGTTTTATAACTGGCTGGCTTAAAATTATTTAAATTGTTTTAATCTGTTCTCTTTGGAGTTCGGTTTCAAGCGGTTGAGAATGCTGGCGAAGCCTTTCACTTCCGTCTATTGCACAATGGTTGCGGTTGATTTGGATTTCGGTTTGCCTCTCCGATGGTTATGCCAGCAGCGATACCTTCTGGCAGTTGAGTCCCCCCATCGGAGGAGCCCCGTTTGGGGCCGTGCCGACCGCACTGGCGCCCTGGCTCCCCGCCTGCCCTCCGCCCGGAACTGGTCCACCGCCCGCTCCCGCTCCCGCCGCCGCCGCCGCCGCTGCCGCCGCACTCAGCTCCGCAGAGGCTGCCGCTGCCGCCGCCGCCGACATGAAGTCCACCTTGCCCAGGTGGACACGCAGGTCCGTGTGCTGGGTCTCCTTGTGCCGGCGCAGGTCCACCTTCCGCTGGAAGGCCTTGTGGCAGAGCTTGCAGGAGAAGGGCTTGTAGCCGGTGTGCTTGCGGGAGTGCGTGATCAGGTTGGAGCTCTGGCTGAAGGCCTTTCCGCACACCTGGCACTTGTGCGGTTTCTCACCTGCAAGAGTGGAAGGATGCAACACGTTAGTAGGGCTTACTCAGTGGAGGACTGGCACTCATTCGGTTCTTATTTGGGTGCATCATTTGATGACCAGTTGGTATTCAGTTGAAACATTTTATAATCTGTCCACTTGGAGTATGATTTAGGTTGGTTTACTTACCCTTACCCTTACTTAGACCCTTAAAAATACGAATAAAACTTATAAAGGCACTTTTAAGTCTACCAACACAATATTCCCTTTAAAATATACCTGTCAGCATGACACTAAGGGGTATCCCCTGCGTTGAGCACGCTCTAACTGCTCTGCGTCTGAGCTTCCAACCAGTGTGCGCCATTTTAGCTAGTTCTGTGCTGCCATGAGCCAACCTGATCCAGTTCCTCCCCTTGGTGCACACACCGCATCTCGAGCGTCAACCCCCAAAAAAAGCGAATCGTCGCCAGACAGCAGCACTCCCAACCCTGCCCGCCTGGACCCCAAGACTCCATGTAAGTCATCTCCGCAGACCGCAGGCTGGAGCCTCCTCCTCCTGCCCATTTCCATTCTCGACTGGGGAACTGCTGGAGTTTTTAAATTTAAACTTTTTGGTTCATCAGTGTGATGTTCTGCGGTGGCGCCGCATTTAAAGTAGCACTTTTTCCGTGCTCTGCTAACATTTTTAAAGTAATTTTGTGGGGTTCTTTTTAAGGGCTTTCCCCAGCTTCGCCTTTATACGCCATTTATTGCTCATTTTCGTGCTGTTGAATTTTTCATTAGAGATTTGGTGGAAAGCTGCTTTCGAAATAAACGGTTTTCCTGGAGCCAGAAATGTCATGAAAATTTGGCTGTACATAATGAAATCTCAGATATGGCAGATGAAAATGAAGGAAATATCAATTTGATTGTGAAAGCTCACAGCAGACGTCATTTAGTCGGCAGTCAGGGTAAGTTAACTGGAGTACAGATGGCGGTGATTAATTTCTTTGCATGCACGCGTTTTATAATCAAATTTTCAAACTCCGTACAGCTAAATACAAAATCTTGCCTCTAGAAAACGAAGCTATTTCTTTTTCCTGTAGTTATACAAAAACTCTGATTATATTTAGTGCCCCGCTCCACGTTTTTCTGCTGCCAACCATGCTAGTCACGCATACATATTCCGTATAGTTGCCCCTTATCTATAGCCCTCTGTTGTATGGAGATAGTGGCACAGACTTGTTGGGCTACATTTTATGTACTACACCCATACACTTACTCTGCCACTCACACACACACCTCACACACACACACCGCACTCACACACACACACAGATATACAGCATGAGATTGTGGGGGACGGCAACAAAATAACGACGACAACATGCTAACTTCAGAGGACCTGACTCTGGAGCTCCCTACCGAGAATTGGGGAAAGTGTATATAAAACAAACAGAGATACGGGTATATAGCGGCGGAGTGACAGAGAGGGCAAGGCGGCGAGTGAAAGAGAGGGGCTGCGAATCCGGCGAAACGAAACGGAAGACAGCTTCGTTGTATATAATGGAATTGCAGCGACGTGATTGTGAAACATTCGACCGTAGGGATGTGCTCTGATTCAACTTTCAGTTCCCGGGGCATGAGGATTTCTTTTCCTTGAGCAGCGGCATGGTTAAGTGGGTGGCTACGTTGGGTGGCTACGTTGGGTGGCTAAGTGGGTGGCTGGATGGAAGGTCGAGCAACAGTAAAATTGAGCAGTCAGCCCGGAGCCGGCTCTCAGTTGGCCTCACCGAGCATGCCTGGATGTGCTGGATGCAGAATCTGGAGGATGCCTTCTCCGGGGTCCGTGGCTCGGGGCACGTTCGTGCACTATCGGCACAAATAACGTCACGTAGTCGCAGAGATTATAGAGCAGCTTTTATTATTTATCACGGCCAAAACGACCCACGAGCTCTAACGAGACCCAAAAACAAAAAAAATAATACAAGTGGAGCAAAACAGCTTCGAGGGAATGGAAAAATCCCGTCGGCCGTCGGTAATTTAAAAGAAAAAAGGGGGCAGGCTATATTCCCGTATACGAAAATTATGTATCAGTGCAATGTCTTTTTGCCAGCTTTTTCAGCGATTTTTATTGCAGCATATTGCGGAAATACTTTTAAGTCTTTGGCTGCCTCCCGAATGGCTTTCCTCTTAGTCTTCTAATATTTTAAGCTTCAGTTTGCTGTCTAATTCAGCACGTTCTCAACACATTTGGTGGATTGGCCACCACTTTTCGTTAGGCGGTGGGAATCAAATCACGCATACGCCCTGTGGAGCGGCGAAAAAACAGAGGGCAGATTGCCTTGGTTTGATTTGGGAAATGAATTGAAACAAAGTAACAAAGGGTATATGTTTAGGAACTGGAACATTTGTACAACTTGCTACAATGGTTTCTAATTCGTTAACCTGCCTAATCGATATACAATTTTAGATTTCAAATTTTCCCAGAATTGTAAATAGTATAGCTATGAGCACTCTTTAAAAGCATTCAACTTAAATTATCGATTTTCCACCTTTTGCACCTCAGACATACTAAAATGAACTTTGGAATGGAAAACAAAAGTCATGAATAAATAAAAGAATCCTGAAATGTTTTTTCCCTCAGTCCTTTTATAGCGCATAAATTGACGAGAACCAAAATCTGAGGCATTGAAATAAAAGCGAAACACAAAAAAAAGGGAAATTCGGTCGAAGCACGGACTAAGCATATAAAACATTTCGCCAAAAAGTAAATACGAAAATGCAAAAAGAAACAGAACGGGAAAAGCGAGCAAATTGCTCCGAAAAATCACATCAGATGAAAGGAGGAAAAATCTGCTGTCTGGGATGGAAACACGCCCCGACACAGGGAAGAAAATTAAGGATAAGTCGTAAGGAAGGCAAAGCGCAAGGAGCGGAACCCGGGAAAAACCAAAGCACTTGGATGGAAAATCTTGAAATGTTGGGGCCAACTTGGCCACATGTGCCTTTGGCCGAGGAAGCGGGGCGCATTTTGGGGCCATCGGGAATGGGGGTGCTGGAGTTTGAGGGAGGCACACGTCCTAAATCGAAGACGGCAAACGATAAAAATGTCTGGAATATTTCTCTTTCTCTTTTTTGTATGTCTGCGGGGGCTTGTGGGGTGCTGATTTCTCTTTCACTGATTTCGCCAGACGCACCAGCGAGGAAAGTCTGCTTATTAGAGGTTATTATCCTTGCCATTTGTAAACTGATTTCCAGCCGAACCGGAATTTCGCTTTTTATGCTTAATGATCCAGTGTGCTTATACTCTATAAAGGAATTGAATTTGAATGTAATGGCATTCGCATGGATTTCCTCAGCAAAACACGGATGTGTTCAGGTTACTACTATTTACTGTTTGCCTGCAATTTAGAAAATATATTTTCTATTTCCTATATCTCTATTTCGTAATATTCGTTGGATTGCCGTTATGAAGGGTGGAACGCTTATCAATCAGAATCATTGCAATCGCTTTCTGTGTGCTCGAGTGTGTGTGATTTCAAACAAATCGCATTCGAGATTCGAAATTTTCACGTGGCCGTGGGTAACTTAAAATCGGGCTGCCCCACCCAACGGCCTTCCCCCCGCCCCGCTCGCAGTTCCACTTGCCCCGTTTCGCAATGGCGTTTCAGTTCAGTTCAGTTCCGTTCCGTTTTCGGCTTTCCGGGGGTGTGTGTGCACCTACACCACTGCGCGGCGTGTATGTGTGCGCCTCGTATTTGTTATTCGTGTGAGTGCGCGCGTATAAAACAGAAAATCAAAATCTCTTGACTAAATTTTTCATTGGTCGGCTGTGATTTCTCAGCCCGCCTCTCTCGCTCGCGCTGTCTCACTCGCTCCTCAGTGCCCGCGCGTGTGTGTGTGCGAGTGCTGGAGTATCTGTGTGCTGCCCTTCCAGTATATAGATTCTTTCGGATTCAGATTCTTATCAGCAGCACTCTCTCGCTTACTCTCTCCCCTGCGATTTCCGGAGAGCCAACTGGGCGCTCTTTCAGCTGTCGTCTGCTCCATTTTTTTTCGAACCCCTCCCCTGCCCTGCCCCTTCTGCCAACCCGGTTTCGCAAACACCCCCAGATTTTCGCTATATCTGCTTCTGCCGATGGCAACTGTAATTGCAACTGGCAACTGCGGCTTTTGGGGTGGCTCGTTCGGCGCTTTAATGGCGCCGCTTCCTGTTCCCCCGCCGAAGACCCCCGCCCTTGGAACACCCCACGCCCATGGACGCATCAAGTGCGCCTGTGTTTTGGCGAAATGCTTTAAAGATACGCTTGTTTTGGGCTCGAATTTTGCATAAATAAACTGAACAATACTGTGATTCGTGGAATTGGCTGATTTAAGAAGGCGAAGCAGTTGTTTTTTAAGTACAGCATTTAATCTTTTCAGCACTTCTTTTTAGCTTCCGGGCTAATTTGTTATTAAATCGCAAAATATAGGTGTAGTATTCCTTATACTTTAATACTATAATATACTGATATATTCTTTATACTTTAATAGTATAATATACTAATATAATGTAGTATAAATACTATATAATAATATAATATAATATACTCGTATATACTTAGTACCAAAAATACCCAAACAAAAATTAACGATCCCTTCCCTTTTAAAGCAACTTAAAACCTTTTAAGTTTGGTGAACCGTGAGGGGAACCCTTCTTATATGCACCACGGCACTGCTTACCCGTGTGGATGTAGGTGTGCTTCTTCATGTCGCTCTTCTGGTGGAACCGCTTGCCGCAGTAGTTGCAGGGATAAGGCCGCGTGTCGCTGTGGATGAGCAGGTGGGTGGACAGGGTGCTGGAGCGCTTGAAGCGCTTGCCGCACTGCTTGCACTCGAACACCTTCTCCACGTTGTGCACCGCCCTGGAATGGAGAGGGTGGGTTGGTTTGGGGGATTAGTGGGGTCCCAGTAACGAGTGCTCGCCGTAATTAAGGTCCGGTAAGTCCCCAAAGGCGGAAGTGGACGTGTTTTAACTACAGCCACAAAGGCAAACATTTGGTCAGGCTGAAATCCAGCCATTTTGGCTAAATTAAGTAATGCAAAGTGTCCCAGGCAGGAAGACCGCGCACTACACTCGGAAATATAGTTATACCATGTTTTTTGGGTTAATTATATAAACAAAAGTACTTTTAATTTACTCTCAATAGTTTTAAAAGCAAAACTTGGTAAAGAGATTTATTGGGTTTGAAAGAGAAAAGCCAAACAAACAATTGAAGTTCATCTCTGCTAACCACTTTTTCTGAGTGTAGGCATGCGGTGGCCCGAACAGATCCCGATCCCCCGCTCCCCCCCTGCCTGCGGTGGCATGCTACACATACCTGTGCTGGCTGAGGCTGACCTCGTGCCCGAAGGTCTTGTTGCAGAGCTCGCAGGCGTAGGGCTTCTTGCCGTGGTGCGTCCGGCGGGAGTGGACCTCGAGGCCGTGGGGCGTGGAGAACATCTTCTCGCACTTCATGCACGAGTACAGGTCGCTGAATTGGTGCAGGCCCGGCCACTTGGCGGCCATGTGGTGGAAGTGGTGCAGGTGGGGCGAGTGGGGCAGGCCCAGATGCCCGCCATTGGGAGGCACGCCCACCCCGACGCCAACGCCCACGCCGACGGCCGCCGCCGCAGCTGCTGCCGCTGCCGCTGCCGCCGAGGAGTTGTTCTGTCCGGCGGACTGGAGCGGCACCATCAGACTGCGCAGACGGAAGAGATTTTCCTGCGAATCCGGATGGTAGCTGCGGAAACACATTTAATTGAGGCGAGTTAATTAAAATGGGTACCCAGTTGCAAACTCGCTTTGCACGGCAGTGGAGGTGGCAAATGAAGCTAATCTGGCAATTAAATTGAGCTTTAAAATGGGTTGCCTTCTGACCCTCTAGTGCCAGAACTATAGTTAACAAGTATTACTATGTTGAGTTGAAGGACACACGACTTACCCTGCTCCCAGGCCGGATTGCTGTTGTTGCTGTTGCTGCTGCTGCTGCTGACCTTGGTGGAAGGCGACGGCGGCGAAGAAGGGCAGGGCGGGCGAGAAGAGCGGTCGCTGGAACATGGCCGCGTCGTAGTTGGGCGGATAGCCCTGGCGCATCGCCTCCAGCGGATTGAATGGCATGGTCAGGCCGCTGGAGGTCAGATGACTGACTGGCGGGCTGCGTGGCGTCCGTCGCTGTGGAGGAGGCTCGTCCCGCCGGAGCAGCGCGGAGACGGAGAAGAGATCCGACTTCTTGGATCCTATGCTACGGCCTCCGCCGTTGGCGGTGATCAGCAGCTCGGAGGCGGAGGCTGAGGCGCCGCTGGGCGAGCTGATCCGCGGACTGCCGGGCGGTGAGTCCACCTCCAGTTCCACCGATGAGCTGCTCGAGTGCGAGCGGGAGCGGGAATGGGAGCGGGAACGGGATCGCGATCTCGAGCGGGAGTGCAGCGAGCGGTGCGAGTGGTTCGATTCCGCGTCCTCCATGTCGATTTGCGAGGAGCAGGGACTGCGGGATCGCGACCTGGAGCGGGATCGCGACTGGCGGCGCAGCTTCTCGCTGGCGCTGATGAAGGCTGGCTTGGAGCGCTGGGTTAGATGCGGCTGATGCGGCTGGTGGTGCTGCTGGTGCTGCTGGTGCATCTGCTGGTTTTTGCTCAGCATCGAGATTGAGTTGTTGTTGTCCTCCAGAGGAGTCGGCGGCTTCAGGCCCACGGCCGCCGCCGCCATCGCCGTCAGTTGTTCAGTCTTGACCAGTCTGCTTATGCTAAATGCTAGCGAGGCATCTGTAATGTTGAATTGAAATCCATTATAAACCTTTCTAATGCTGTTTGTTTATGTGCATAAATGTGTAAAGCCCTATTGATTTGTTCACAAGATCGCTTAGCGAAATCAGAGCAAAGCGTGTGCCATATCATCAATCACTCACTGCAAAAAAAAGAAGGGAAATGGAATCCACCTGTGCGGCATCGCACACCAGAGTTTCCTCGTATGCGTGCCAGTTGGCAGCGTATCGAATTTCAAATGTAATTATTTTCGTATTCAATCGCCTAATCCACCTTACATGACCATTAATTCACCCTAATCAACGAATCCTTCCCCGCTCATGAACCGCTTTCCGCATTTGACATCAGCGCGTCATCATTCGGCGTCGTCACCCCGAAATCCTTGGCCAGCGATGATGGCCACGGACACAGATACAAATCCGTGTGCGGATGCGGCGCCGGCGCTCAGGGTTGAACTCGGCACGCCCCTGGACAGGAGCAGCCACCCGACAGGAGTTTCGGAATCGAGTTCCCTTCTTATCAACCACGAAGTTTTTACTCGCAAGGCTATTTCGGAATAGTTAAAGCTTGACAACTTTGTTTATATTTGACTTTTCGTTTTAAATGGTTTCTACATACATTTTTAATTCATTTGTATGGTTTTTTGATTTTATTTGTAGAATCATTTTTAGAAACAGCTTTAGTTATTGCACCTGACAATGAAAACTTCATATGATTAGTAATAAAATTTATGTTTCGACTGCAAAGATCAGGATTTTTGTTAAGACAAATAGATAATATTTAAAGAAGATCATATTAGGAGGAAATGGAAATCTTAACTTTTGCCTGGTGCACGGCACAAAATACACATCCTAGAGTCTATCGCCTGTCGAAATGAAATAATAATAATGTGCGTTTAAATAGAACATCTGTTCGGTCCACACTCGGCTAAATGGAGCATGACAAAACAGAAAACACACAGCGGGCCGGGGAAATGGGATTCGCTCGGATTCGGAGTCGGAATGAGAATCGGTGGACTGGGAACTGGGAACTTCATCGCTGTGAACTGGGAACTCCGGCGACATTCCGCGTGTGCAAATTGACGCAGGCGCAAAAGGCAGGGATTGCAGGGAAACGAAAGGGGTAATGGTACACATAACTCACTCCACACAACGTGGATGCCGTATATGCCGTACATGCCGTGTGCCAGGCAAGTGAAAACCGCGACGGCCCGAGGCGAATCGAATGAATGAATGAATCCGCAGCGCAACAAAAGAATAACAATTTGACAACATTCTAATTCGCCACGCAGATAAAAGTAACTGCCAAGGCGGCGGGGTGGGGAAGTGGGTGGAAAAGTGCGGGGGCGGGACTTTGATTCCGGGCCATAGTCCGGAGTCGGTGAGGCGGCAAAACGCAAAGCCAAGCAAATATAAACAAAACCCACGCACTAAACGCAGCCAGGGATATTCGCACGCAGATATATACGTATCCGTCAGATACTCAGATACAAATGGGGGGTGGCTCGCCCGCTGCTCTGCTTTTCCCGCCAGAGTGTCAAGTGTTTTTATTGCCCTGCTGCTGTTGTTGCAATTCTCGCCGTTGTTATTTTTGCTCAAACTTGGGTCTTGGGATTTCGGTTTTTGCTCCTAAGTGCTTTTGAATATGGAAATGGCCCATAATCCAGTACCTGGCCCGGATTCGTTTGATCATCACTATGTTTTCACTACTTCGGCTTGGGCTTATTTTACTAACAGTTGTTAAGGGAGAATTCCTATCACATCGTAGCTGGGATATCGCCAGGAAAGCCAACACATTTCATTCCCCCCCACCTGAAAATCTAAATTTTAATCATTGACATTATGGCAAATGTGTCCCGGCCAACCCTTCCCTTCTAATTATGTACGCAATCGTCCCGAGAGCATTTCCACCAGCCAAAAACAAATTCGAATCGAATGGAGGTCGAGTCAGTGGCAGCGGGAAAAGGGCCCACACAATAATATATATAGAAAATAAAATTGGAAACGTTTAACGTTCGCTGCAAGCTGGTGGGCCAAAAGCAACCCGGATAAGGAGCAGGACAAGTGGCTCCTGGTGGCTCACGTAGGGCGACTTGTTTAAACGACAATAATGAGCTTAAGCATGTGCCCGATGTCGCTCCAGGGTGGCGATTCCTCTCGAGTCCTGGCGCGTCCTGGCGAGTCCTTCGGCTGCTGGAGGCTGGCAAAGTGGCATCAACGACCCCTCGACGGTCGGCAGCAAAGTCATAAATTTGTGCACATTAGACATAGACATAGCCCTCGTCCACCCCGAACACCACGAGCACCACGAGCACCCCGAGCACCCCGAGCACCCCGAACATCCGGAACATTCGGAACACCCAACCCCCTAACACCCAATATCATCCAGCCCTTCAGCCTCTGACGTTCATCTGTTTTTATCCGCCCGGGAGCAATATTCACGCACTCCACGCACTTGTTCGCATAAAAAGGACGAAGGTAAAATAATTATTCGACACTGCATGGTAATTGAAATCATTGTTATCCTGCGCCCTGTTTACTGTCTCCCCCGACCACTAGGATTATTATTGTTTTGGGGCGATTTGCAGCCATTACAATTTGGTTTGGGCTTACGGCTTGCCGGGGGGCAGCTGGTGCTCCTGCAGGAGGTGTTAATTTCTGGAATTTCATTTATAATTACTCGCGAGCTGTTGAAATTTGACGGGAGGTTGTTATAAAAATTGTTTAGTAAACACTTTGGAAATACTTCGCTCTGGAGCAATTCTTCGCAGATCATATTAATTAAGAAACATCATCATTTAAGTAATTACATGACGGCATTGGAAAATACTTTAAGGTGTTAGCTTTGACATCCCAAGATGTTGGATTACAGTCCTTAATCAGAGAGACTTTCTGTAGAAGTTGATGTATAGATTTCGAATTGAAATCCAAGGCATATGCCCCTAATTTGCTTTTCAAACCTATTCTCATTTCTCATTTGCACTAAATTTATAGCACCTCTTCTGGGCACAAAATCAGTTAGTCGAAGTATTTCTATTTCTATTTCTATTTCGCAGAAGTCGACTCGATTAAACTGGGCAACAGTAGTCGGGGATCCGGCCGGTCGTAATATTATAAAAACAAATTCCGCTTTCGGCAAATATGAAAGTGGAAATGGCAAAAATAAAAACAGCACAGTATAAATAATAAAGAGCCGCGGCGATATGGCCAGAAGAGGGCCATAAACTGTGAACGGTTAGATAGATTAGGCCATGATTTGGTCTGTTGGCATGCCTGCGAATGTGTGTGCATGATTTACGGATTGAGTTGAGATTTCGATTTCGACTTGGGTTCGGATTTCGATTTGGATTCGGATTTGGCGTTGGATTTCGATTGGGATTCCGATTGGGATTCCGATCGGGAATCCGATTGGGATTCCGCTTTGCACTTGGATTGCCCACCCCAGCGATAGCATATCAGTTGGAGAGAGAGCAGAGCTCTTTAGCCCGCATAAGCTCCACTCGTTGAGTGGCATTAGATGGGGATTGCGTATCCAAACACTCAACAGTTGGCCCAATGTGTGTGTGCCAGTTATCAGGCATCGGCCATCAGCCATCAGCTATCAGCTATCAGCTGTTGGTCCCGCTGGGTCGGCAGCGTTTCTTTGAAGCCCCTCGGCAAATGTCGCCAATTGCAATTACATTATTTACTTTTACACTGCAAATCAATCAGAGGTGCACCCCACATCCCAACTACTCCCCGCAGAATGCCAATGGCTGTGCCACAAACCGATCGCAACCATAGATCCGTATATTGCACCCTTTTCCCAGCTGCTTATCGCTGGGCAATAAATCAGGAGGCTATCTAAACTTTAGACTACGATTTTTTACCTTTTTCCTCCCGCTGATAAATTTCATTTAATTGCCGTTCGGTCTCGGGCAGCCGACGGTTTTCACTTTCCACTTTCCACCCAGAAGTATTTTATGAAAACGCAACGTACCCATTAAGGAACTAACCTAGGAACTAAGCGAACTAACTACTATTTATAGATTTCTAAACTGTTTCTGTTTCTGACTGTGATCGAGTCGGCTCGGTGTGATTTTTGGGTCCAAAGACTCATATGACGCCCATTGTGCGGAGTGGAAATGTAGGTGATATCATTATTGCAGTCTGCGGAGCGGTTTATTGTTATTATAAGCCGATATCTACTCTGGTAGCTTTTATGGCTGTACAAATTCGATATTGAAAATCGCAGTTCTTCATACTATCAGCGGCGGAAATCGATCGGGGCATTTCTAATTTCAATACTCAAACATCGGACGTGACAAATGCCGAATGGCAAATGGGCTGCGTTTTAGCTCCTTTTCGCTGGAAATTGATTTTTCTTTGTCAAACACTCGGTCGATGCAATGATAAACCGACTGGACGGGAATCGAGGGCATAAATAACAACAACAACAACAAAAAAAGTCGGACACAAATCGAGGAAGGGAACTGAACCCAGTGGTATGTACTTTCTTAATGTTGCACGAACTATGTCTGCGGTTGGCATTTGTTTACTTATCGGTCGCTCGCTTATTTTATGATACTTTTACTCTTTCGATTTTACAACTGGCCACAGAGGATACTGACATGTTTAGATGTCGTTATGTATTTACCTCGGATCGTAAATCATAACACGTGTGTGGTGTGGTGTGTGTGTGCGTAGTTGATTATGCTCGTACTTCACCCTCCGGGTGTCTATTTTGTATCTTGCAGATACACGGGATACCGTGGATTTGGCGTTTCTTTATTTGGCTGATTGGCTGATTTGGTTTTGGATATCTTTATAGATTTACAATGCCCAATTTTCGTCTACTTGTGAGAAGTTGAAGTATATATGATAGGCGATGAGTTGCCAATGATTACGACGTGTGTCGTAAACATTCCATAAATATTGCTCTGATTTTGGTTGCGACAATTTGTTATTGATCAATAATGTACTTTGCAATTGAACTCGTGAGACGAATGTGTCGAATAGAATTGTGAATGCACTGAACATTTTATTGAATGGGAAATTATATGCCATAGCGAGTTTTATTCCCAAAAGAACTCTGTCATCTTCGTCTCCAATAAATTCCATCAACATTTTTCCGACTTTATTATAGTGTCTTGGCAAAATGCTGTAGGACATACTACCCAATTTACTCTTTTCTAGGAGTTTCACTTCACAATGTTCAAACAACATAATTTATAGTTATGTTTAAAGCAATCAGTTTTCACTGACAAACACAAGTTTTCCAATATTTCTTGGAGATAAGCCAAACTCACGGCGATTGCTGGAGTTTTATTTATTCCATGCGATATGCCAATTGCCTTTTTAATTGTTCAATCGTTTGGTGTGATTGAAAAAGGCTTAACAAATGTGTTATTAAATTTATATCGGCTTGTACGCGGGCTCGTATATAAAAAACCCGATTGCCGCGGCAACTAAATCAAAAATTATAATTTATACCTTGAACGTTTGGAACCGTTCTGATTTTTGGACTGATATCACCGGAAAACTATGTTCACTTGGGGGCGGACAATTTGTCGTCGCTGCGAATGAATCAATGCTGCTCTGAGATCTGTGTTCAAGTAATTTGAGTACGGGCTGCCATTTAACCCATGCTCCCTTTCAGACCATTAGTCGGCTCTTTAGTCTGGGCACGAGCAATTTTCACAATTTAGCTTAATTCGTGACTCACAAGTGCCGGTGTCAAAGTTCTATTTTATTTCAGTGGTCGCATTAGAGTGGCAGGCATCATTAATTGAGTCATACGGCGGTGGCGTATGACAAAAATTAAGATCATCCACTCGTGGGTGGGTGGCTAATGGGAAATCGAGACGATATTTCTGACTGACCTTTCGGGGCAAGGTTTTGTGGCACACTGCCATTTTAGTCTACTCTATTCTATACTGTCTAAAGCCACTACCTACTGTCTTAAATTGTGATACATAATTATAGAGATTCTGACACTTATTGAGTAGATCTCCAAAACCTTACTTTCTCAAGAAGATGTTGCCTACTTTCAGGACACAATTGCAGTGGCTTCTGATCCATTAAATTCAAAGGCTTAAACTGCAGCGCCCAACAGATTTCCACAAAGTTTCCGTCCTTCAACAGGAGGGGCCAATCAGTCACCAAAGAGCCCTGCGAACTTTCGCCACATCAACCAATATATTGTCCCAACGAAAACCGAGAAAATATTCCAACAAACAAAGCGAAATTCATTTTCTCTAGAGAAAGAGAAGGTTGGGGAAGCGGGTGGCGGTGGCTTGCGGGGGGCGGGGGGTGCTTGTCGCGGCAAACGGAATTGAAAATTCAGTGTGCGAGTGTGTGTGCGTGTGTGTGTGCGAGTCTGCTTTTCCGCATATCCATGTCTGTGTTGGAAGCGGTGGAGAGCTAAAAACATATCCGTTGGATACATGTAATGCCGGTAAATGAAATCCGCTTGTCGCTGCCTTGTGTGTGCGAGTGTGTGTGTGTGTGTGTGAGAGTGGGGAAATATGGCAAGGAGGAGTGAGTGAGAGAGGGGACGGCCAGTGTTGTCAGCTTGGCTTTTTTTCTGCCAAATTCCGAATTCGTTTAAAGCTGAGAACAGGAAACTGAACAGGTGTCTGCATCTGGGTTATCTTTAAGGTTTTAGCTAGCAAAAGTGCTAAAAGTGAATTATCTTTAAGGTGATTTTCCTTTAAGTCCTGCAAAACAAAATTGTTTATCCGTTTCGAACAGCACTGAAGCTTGGGGCTCCCGTGCGAACGCTCATTCATTCATTCAATGCCCATATTTGAAATTCAACAGCGATGGCGATGACAACGGCGTCTGCACACAGATGCACACAGATACACAAACAAGCGTGTGAGTGAGTGTGAGTGTATCTGGACGCGACTGGACTGGACTGAACTGTGTATCTACAAGTTTGTGCGATGGTTTGCCGTTCGCAGCCGTATCTGTATCTGCGTATCTGTGTATCTGTGGTCCAGCTATGGATTTTTCAATCCCCGATATCCATTTTTCCGCCCCATGTCCGCACAGAAGATTTGCCCATTAAGCGTCGCGCACACACTCACACACACAAACGGAATAATGAATATCCCAGCTCCTGCTGCCCCTGAACAATTTTCGCTTTCCACGCTTTCCACGCTTTCCCACCGAACTGGGGCTTTTTTCCAATTAAACCGACACCGTGCAGCCTTTGGGCTTTCACTCGGATATTTCGGACATGGCCAGTGTGATATTTTAAAATCACACATTACTCAAATAAATTTTTAAAAATTCCTACATTGCCCGCTGACCAGCCTTTGGGGGATTTGCTGCCACTCGCTGCGGATTGGAGGCTCTCCGTTTCTGTGTTGTTGATTTCAGTCGCTTTTGTTTTCCTCTTTTTAATTAACTCGGGGAATATGAAATGTGGTGGGGGTGTGATTGGGTTTATGCCAATCTGTTTGCAGGCTGCACAAAAATTTAATTTGACAAATGTTGGCATTCAGGAAGGAGCTGAAATATCACTCAGTGAATTATTTTAGCGATCTGGTGACACTTGATTTGCTAAAATCCATATATATACTTTTTCAGAAATCTCTAAGAAGTTCGCACAGATTTAGTTTTAAATAAAGATAAGTTCTATAAGTAAAGCTAATCTTTAATTGTAGATAATATATTATTCAAATATATTCAAAGCTATATTTGATTGAGTTTAAACAGAACAACTGCAATCTCTGGCAAGCTTATAAAATGCTTAGAAGTTGACTTGATTTTCTAAATATAAAACATGACTTTCCAAAAAGAATGAATAATATGAAATTTGATTAAGCTTTTATATAAATATATCGAAGTAATCATATATTAATAAATATTTTTCTCATCATTTTATAATTTCTTTAACTGTCTAGGTAAATAGTGCATTTCGCACTATACCGTCTTCAAGTAAATTTCATTAGTAAATTTTATTGGTAATCTTCATCTGTATGAAAATTAGCAGACAAGTTGGTAAGTCACTGCGTAAAAAGGGAAATCCTCGACACAACTAACTTCACAGCACTTATTTCAAAACTTTCATGCAAATAACTAAACTTTACTGAACTCGCTTCCGTTTAGTGACAAGCATTGGAATCCCAATTGGTGACGGATTTTCATGCAAAAATAGTAAGAGATTCCGGCTTACCGTCGGAGTTCCGCTTCTTGGGCAGCACCGCTTTGAAGGCGGACATGGGCGCGTACTCGTGCGGCGACGTGGAGGCCGGCGGCATCTGAGGCTGCGGGGGATTGGGGTTGGGATGGGGATTCTGTGCCGGCTGCTGGTGATGGTGACCCAAGGCCGCGTCCGCGGACATCTGGATGCGCTGGTGGAGCAGCTGGGTGGGCGAGGGTATCGTGGCCATGGCCGTCAGCGCGCTGAGATCCCGCACCTGCAGCGGAGCGGAGGCGGCGGAGGAGACGGCGACGGAGACGGAATTGGAGGCCGACGAGGATTGCTGGCTGGTGAGGAAGGGTCCGGGAAAGTCCGCCGCAATGGCTGGCTTGAAGTTGCCCAGGCTGTAGTCGAGGGGCAGGTGGTGTTGGTGGGCGGGCGGTGCGGCCGGATGCAGCAGATGCTGACCGGAAGTGGCTTGCATTTTGGCCACGTCCATATCGGGTTTATCACTGATTCAATAAGTTTCTTTTCTATGTGTTTTTCTTGCTTTCAGGTTAACTTAGGCTTTTGTCAGCGGTCTTTTGTTCTTTTGATTTGGCACTGAAACTGTTTGCTTTTTTCGCGACGGCATGCGAGTGCGGTTACGGTGGCGTATACGCAACGTGGCTACCGGAAGGAAGTGCCACAGATTTAGGGCTTTAATACTGCTGCTCTGACTGCTGCTGCTGCTGGGCGCATAACTGCTGGCTTCGGCCTCATCGAGCGGACTGAAGCACCGTAAAAACCTAATCACGGATCCGTGGAACGCTGACGCCGGCGCCCGGCCGAGAGTGAATCTCTGCCGCCGAGCTTGGAAAACTCTGCTGGCGCCGCAGCTGCTGCTGCTGCTGCTGCTGCTGCTGCTGCTGCTGCTGCTGCTGCTGCTCCTGCACTTGACTTTTAGCCGGGGATTCGGAGTGCGGCCAAGTGCCATATGCCATATACGCCAAGTGTTGCGATTTTCGCCTAGATTTGGCAGCGACGTCGACGCTGGCAGCGACGTCAGCGAGAGAACGGCTCTCGCTGCTTTCCCGTATCTCTATATCTATCTGTATATACGATGCGCTGTGAATGAACGCCCGTTCGGATGCGGATTGCTGCTGCTCCGATTTTACCGCTGTCAGCGAGCGTCTGCAGGCGACTGACGAGCGGAGCGGCACTCGAGTTTCCACTCAGCGGATACGCTTTCACCACCACCACTGCGTTGCCTCGGTGCGAGTGCGAGCGGGACGACGGCTGGTTCCAATTGGAACGGCGGAATGGCCAAGTGGAATCGGAACAGCCACCACCATTTGCCGTGCACGTGGCCACGCCCCCTTTCCAGCTGGCCATGGTTAATCTGGATTCTTGGTAGCTTGTTGTTGGTATTTTTAGTGCGCATACCGCTTTGATTCGTTCAAATCAATGCCACCGCCGAACAATGGTGGCAAGTGGGTGGCGGTGGGTGGAGTGGCTGGAGTGGGTAGTGGGTGTTGGGTGGTGGGCGGTGGTGTAGAGTGTGCGTGTGCGTGTGTTGGGCGCGTGTTTGCTGGCCTTTGGTTTGCTATTACCTGCTCTGCTTTTGGGGGCGGGCTCTCTGGCATTTCTGCGATTTTGTATCTTTTGTTTTGTAGATCAGCTCGTACCGCCATCGATTTGGTAATCGCTGTTGTCTCCGGCGTTTGAAGTGCGCCGCGCCATTTAATTTCAAGTGGTTCCTGGCACCTCGGCAAGCACCAACACTAATGCCGCATTCCTCGCACTTGACTATCCCCCAATCGCCATTGCCTTTGGCAGCTCTGACTTGGCACTCGCGATTGGTTTTTGCGCCATTAACTTCAAATGCTTTCTGCTCCGGCGAACGGTGGCTAAGTGATTTCCTGGGGGCTGAAGTCGGTTGCCACTTCGCATTGCTGTTTGATTTTTCTCAGGCAAAGGGTTTTCACCTTTCATTGCTTGCCATTTAGTCATGGCTCAAGTGTGTAATTCCATTATCTATTTCGGTAAATTTGCTTTTAATACCATTAACTGTATAGCACATACGTGACTAGAAGTAACAGCAAAGAAGATAGTTCCTTCGGGCACTATTGAAGATACATTTAATTTGGATCTAGATGATCTTTGGAAAATTATTAAATTAGAAAACCATACATTTCTAATTATACAACCATCTTCTCTTCGGAGAAATGTAATCCAGTGATTGGCTTTATTAAATGAAATCCATGTTCGCCTAATGCAGTTTATTAAATGTCAAAGAACAAGTCTTCTCCCACTTGCACTGCTAAACAAATTAGGTAGAAAATAGAATATTTAGAAGGAATACTTTGTTATTTTAAGGAAAACCTTAAATTTGTTGTGAAATGAATCTGCCTGAAACCCCACAGTTGCAAGACTTCAATTATTTCATGGATATCGTTCATTACATTCTCTGTATGATCCAAATCTAGTAAAGTTGGATCAAGAGCAAAAAATGTAGGGCTTGGCTTAAAGTTTTACGACAAATGCATTTGGAAATAGTTTCCCCACATTATAACAAAAAATTGAAATACTTTCAGTCTGAGATTTCAAGGAGAAATTCGGAAAAAAAGCAGAAGCTGCTTTCCCAATAACTTCTTAATTTGGGGGACATCTTTGGAGCAAAGCTTTCTGTGAACCATAAATTAGACAATTTTGACAGGCATCTAATTTTTAAAAAGTCATGCATTTAATTGCGACATTAAAAGCACAACTCTGAAAACGAATGCTCAATGGTGGTGGGTTATCTTTAAATGCCCTGAAAATTTAAAAAAATCGTCTGCTGGAAGCGCACATGTCGTTGGACGCCCCTCGAAATTATGACAAATATTTACAAAACACAAAGAGCTAATGTTCCCATTTCATCGGTCGCATAAATAAGTGTTATGAGCTCCCGTTTTTCCCTCCAGTCTTCGCCACAGATTTGAATATCTTTCTGGGCGTCCCAGATCCCAGCTTCGGATTATTGGTGTCACTTGGTTTTGGCATCGGTCCTCCAACACATGGTAACGATTTAAAGAATTACACACCAAATTTAGTCCGTCGAGGATGGAGTGTGAACAAGTGGGGTTTTCTCCGCTCCGATTCCCATCGGCTTCGTACCGCTCCCATTCCCTTTCTGCTCTAGTTCCAATTAGAGAGCTATCTAAAAATCTGACTGATGTGCAGAGGAGATTGACGTGCGTCCATTAAAATCCGACGGAATTCGCTGGTCGAGAAATATGAAGAATGAAGGGAGTGTCAGCCACTGAATGCAGGGGATTCTTCTCCATCTAAAAACCAGTTTCAACTATAGGAATCTTATGAATACGCCATAGCCCATTGGGAAGACAATTATTAATATATATTTCACTATAAACACACTTTTACAAATAAGCGAATCATTTGAAAAATGCATTTCCCATAAGAAACAAGATAGAATGCTATAGTTGAGTTCCCCGACTATCAGATACCCGTTACTCAGCTAGTGGAAGTGCAAATGAGATATTTCAACATTTTCTGGAATATAGATAAAATTGGGGAAATAATATAAAAATGAAAAAAGCCTTAACAATTGCACACATTTTTTAACTTTTTTTTGAATTTCTACAACAACACACATCCGAAAATTAGAAAAAAAAATAATTTCTAAATTTGAATGCAGATTTTTAGGGAATTGCGCCAGAAATATTTAGAGGTATCAAAATCCGATTAAGATAGGTTGAGTTTTGGAGTTTGGAACTTCACTTTAGGACATTTCTTAACTTGTTTGAATCACAACATCAAAAAACTACAAACAAATTAAAAAAAAAAGGATTGAATGCTGTAGTCGGACATACTTTCCAACGATTCTAGTATACCATATTCTCTACGAGTAACGGGTATAATTAAAGAAAGTAGTTTTTAAGGCTAGACATCGTAGTATATAGTAGTGTGATAACTAAACCGTCTTTTATTTGAAAACGCTATCTATGCACTCGCATTGCTATATCACCGTAGAAGTGTAAGCTATCGTTTTCGAACAATTCGAATCGTTACAATTCGATTGGATTCTATATTGCCCGGTTGTAATCAAGAACCGAAATGAAGTTTTATAATGGATAATAAAATATATTTTTGACATGAATTTTCAATCAGAATTTTAATAGCCCTTAATAATAACATGGCTATCACTTATCAACGCACACAATCGGTTATCAGAGTCATTTTCATCGGTTTGCTCTATTCTGTACACAGACAAAAACGAAGTGGTAAATTCGAAGTGGTATGTGTATTAATGTGATTGTTTTACATACTTACTGCTAGTAAATGTTGAAATCAGTCGCATGTCTAGAACCAGTTGGGAATTATAGCGCCGTTGACGAAAAATCAATGGCCTCTTTCAAGTTCGTTTGAATTGTATTGTATTGGTACATTTATGGGATTAAGAATTTGTTTATGCAGAAATCGAAAAGCAATAACGATAATTCACGGTGTACAATCGCGAGGGAATCCTAGCGTAGTGCAATTGGAATCCCATATAGCCGCACCTTCTCCACCTCCGTCCGCTTTATGCAGCCGTATAGCAAACGTACCGGGCCCAAAACGATACCGTACCGGCAAGCGATCCATCTATTACCTCTGTGTGGTGGCAATATTCCACCACCGAAGCTATAAATAATTTATTTATAGCTCTTACTCCACTCAGTGCTGCGGCGGTGCTATTGTTGATTTAGTGCCTCTTTATAGATCGATGGTTGTTGGCTGCTCGTGTGGGCTCCACTGGGCTCGGATATTGCCGTGGCTGCCTCTGGATCGGGGATGCATAAACAGGACGCGCTTGGCCAAATGATTTGATAGTTACTGGTGGCTTGGAGCCTCTGGCCCTTCGAGGGGAGCAAGGGTCTTGGGGGAGGTGGTGCCCTTATCTAATCGGGGGAGAGCAGTCCGATGGTGGGTCACAGATCGATTGCGCTTTTCCGTTGATAGGCCCATATATTTAACCTGGAGGCGGCAGATTGAAATAAAACTCCGGTTTTATAGCACCCCCGACCATCCGAACCATTGCAGCATATCGGTTAACTAGTACTACCACGCACTGATCGGTGAAGGAGGATTGAATTGTTTACAATTATTTATGGCACCTCGATTTGGCCAAACAGCTCTTTTCATTGTAATTACTGACAGCTCATGCGATCAGTGATGTTCTTATGGAGCGATTAGTTGTCAAGATTTCAATCCTTCCCTGGCTAAGATTTGGCTACGATTTGGCTGCGAAGTGAAAGAGATTCGGCGAACCACTAAATTGATAAGATCAGAACGAGCTGACATAATATGATCGCACAGATTACTTCAATTTCCCACTTGGCTGTACTTTCAGTGTGCACCTTTGTTGATCGTTATTTGTTTAATTTACAACTTGTAAACGCGGCTCATACGACGCAGAGCCAAGCCAGCAGAAAGCAAATAAGTCGCTCCGATAAAGGCAATGGTGGAATGAGTTCTGTGGCGACACGGAGTCTACCGGGTTAGTGCTCGCTGTTATTGATAAGTTGTAATTATGTTTATGACACATGTCTGTTTGCCGGGACTACCTTTGGCTTGGCTAGAGATAATTCTTTTTAGATACATGTATCCGTAAGTTTTACTGCTGCAACGCAAGCCACTCTGTCAGAGATCCATGGCAACTTGGTCAGTAATCACTTCCAACTTTGTGTATCCGTAGCAACAGAGGTGATTGCATTCAATTTAAAACTTACCAGTAAATATTTCGATTCAG